CTAAGGGTGAGGTCATCCAAATGGAAGCTAATTTATAAGGTTTGTGAAGTTTTGAGAATTTTGCTAAATCTATGAAAGCCAATGAGAAGCCGGCTAGGTTAGTAAACCAAGAGGAACAAGCTGATGTAAAAGAAATCTCAAATTAAATAGTTGAAAGCAAGGGATCGCAACACTACTTTTTCTTCCATGCATGTGTTCACAATTGATCAACCAAGTCTAGATTTGCATTAGCTTTAGATAATGGAACTTCGTGCACCGATGATTCGATTATTAGCAATGCTACTATAGATTATTTCTTAAAAAAACTATGAGTAAACCTATTGTAATAGATGACACTTTTCTAAACATTGTGCCTTCTTTGGTAACAACCTCTCAAAATGAAGAATTGATGGTCATTCCTTCGCTAAAAAAGATTAAATCACCGAGTGTTTGAGTTAGATGAGCTTAGTGCTCTAGGTCCGGATGGTTTCATATTAGCTTTTCTTCAAGGCTTGCTAGGATATTATTTGCAAGGATATAGTCTTGGCAATTCAAGATGTTTTTAGAGGAAGAGAGATCTCAAAGAAAGTTACGACTACTTCCATGGTGTTGATTCCTAAATGTCCACGACCAATAAACTCCATAGACATGCAACCTATTAGCTTGTGTAATTTTACCTATAAGATTTTATCCCGCATCTTTACAAATAGATTGAGTGTGGCACTGTCGAATCCGATATCAAATAAGCGGTCGGGTTTTGTGAAAGGGAGATTGATTCATGAGTGTTTTTTTAGCTTAGGAATTTTTTAATGATATCTATAGGAAAATCTATGAGAGTAATGTGATTTTCATAGTCGACATGTCTAAAGCTTATGATAGATTGGAGTAGCATTTTCATCTCAAAGTGATGCGACAATTTGGCTTCTTAAACAATTGGTGTGACTTGTTTTCAAATGCTTAAGTAACTATTGGTACTCGCTCTTCCTGAACTCTAAATCATTTTGTTTCTTCAAGTTCTACCATGGGGCGTGATAGGGTGATTCACTATCTCCGGCTCTTTTTATTCTAGCTTAGAAAGTTTTTAATAAAAGTATGAATGCTCGGGTTGCAAATGGTTCAGTTATCCCTTACTACATTGGAGGCAACACCATCACTTGTCTCTCATTTACTTTTTGCAAATAACATGCTTGCTCTTCTATAATGATGGTAAGAAGAATATTGATAAAATGATGTCTCTCATAAACTATTATTCCTCTACTAGTGGTCGAGCTATTAAATTTTGAAAGAGCTTTATCATGTGGAGTAGGGGTAAGCACTTATTCGAGTTAAAACCAAACCAAATCGAACCGAATTAACAATTTCGGTTTAGTTTTTTATAAAAATTTTGAAAAAAAAATAAAATCGAAAACCCAAATTATTTCGATTCGGTTTTTTTTAAAAAAAAATTTCAATTTCCACAGAAAATCAAATTATTATTATTATTATTATTTTACACGCACACCCAAAGACTTCTTGTAAAAAACCATTACCATTGGGTTATAAGCTCTTTAGTTTATAATTTAATTGATATGTTTTTATATTTCATACTAATTTTTAACTCTTATAAATTTGTGATCTCCACATATTTTAAATTTTTTTTTTTTTTTTTGAAATAAAGATCTTCTTGACTCCTAATTAGTGGTTGAGTGAGGGGTTTTTTTTAGAAAAATAAAAGATATTTAAATGAAATATTTTTCTATAAATAAAATGATAGAATTCTTTATCAAAATTGATTGGACTAAAAGTATGAACTTTCATTCAATATGCATAAAAGCTTAAAAATTGCATCTCCAATCTCTAGCCTATGTGTTTCGCCATTGCATCTAATGATGTAGGACTTTAAATATATATTTTAATGAAAATTCAAACAAACTATTGGGTAAACTTTTGAGGTTAGTGTTGATCAAACTAGCATCAATGAGACATGATGCTAAAACTAAAGTAAATTATAAATCAATCTTCCTAGTTTTGAAAAAAAAAAAATTAATTTTTTTTTGTTTTAAAATTAATTATTTAGTTTTTTTTTTTTTTGTTCATTTTATGTTCTTATCAACTTTTTTTATAAAAAAAAAACTCCCGGTTAAAAAAAATTAAATAGATATTTGGGAATATCAATGAAAAAAGAATTTTTTTTAATAAATTAAAAAATATATGGTCAATACTAATAAAAAAAATTGTTAGGATATCAATATTTGTGATGTAATTAAAAAAAATTACAAAAAAGTAGTTTTTTCAGCTAGGTCCCAGAGAAGATTCAAAATTCATAAGAAAACATTTTTTAAAAAAATTAGTTTTTAATTGAAAATTGAATAGAAAATTTTAATTTTTTAACCAAAAAACCGAACCTCAATTCGATTTAGTTTTGATTTTTATTTTAATCAATTCGATTAATCGGAAAAAAAACACTAAAACCGAATCAAAAAACCGAATGATCACCCCGACGTGGAGTAATAAAATACCTTATAACAGAAAAGGTTTCCTCTCAACCTGGACAAGTTTCTCATTGTCCACTAACGTGATGACTTACTTGGGCATGTCTCTTTTTAAAGGAAGAGCTAGCACCGATTACTTTGTTAATATGGAAAACAAGGTTAAAGATAAACTAACAGGTTGGAAAGGGAGGTTATTATCTATGAGTGGTAAGCTCACATTAATACAGAGTTCGCTCACCTATATTTCCATACATCCATGGGAGTGTTACCTATTTTGAAAGCCGCTTTATCCAGAATTCAAGGTTACTTCTCCGATTTATTTAAGAACAGTGGAGGGGACAACAAGCATCATTGGGTGAATTGAAGGACTATCTCTTTTCCTTTACAGGAGGGTGGATTAGGTGCTAAAACTTTAGGTGAGGTTATGAATGCCTTGAAAGGGAAGCTTGCTTAGTCATATTCAACTAGCTCCTTCTTGTGGAGTTCCTTTATTAGATCTAAATATTGGGTGCTTCTTCTTTTAAAGTGACTAATCATAGAAAGGGATCCTTTGTTTGACGAACCTTACTACCTCATATTGGTTCACTGCTGGATCGATCCATGTCTGCTGATATTATGCTATGGAAAGATAGGTGGACTATGGCTGAGCTGCCTAGTAACACTGCTAACATGGATTTTTCTTTAGCTCTAGCAAAAAGGAAACGTTCAATCTACATGACTTTGCCGCAAGTAGTGAGAAATGAGCTGAACTTAGTGACCTTGGGTGATAATGCAAATGACATACTCTATTACATAGATTCGAAGAATAAAACCTTTAACGCCAAAGCCTATCATGAGGCTACTAGACTTGCTGCTCCTAAGTTCGAATGATGGTGAAGCTTATGGAACACATTGGCTGCCTACAAAAATTGGTGTCTTTGTTTGGAAACTTTTGCACAATGTTGTAGCAGTAGAGGCTAAAATTCAGTCTTGTGGAATTTCTTTAGTGTCTAAATGTCAATGTTGTAGGTCTACAAATAAGAAACCTAGAGACCACTTGTTCCTACATGGAACTGTAGCAAGCCTTCTTAGTAGTTACTTTGGTAACATTTTAGATGTGGCTCCATGCAATGGAACTTTGATGCAACTTGTCTCGACTTGGTTAACAAAAGGTACTATCAATTCCTACAAAACCTTCTCTAGCATGATTGTTTTTAACCATCTTCTATGGGAACTTTGGCTAGCTAGGAATAAATCTTTGTTTGAATGTGAGAGTATGAATTGGCTTAATATCAAGCATAAAGTGGCTAACTTTGAGTGATTTAACACTACTGTTTATTCCTAAGATGCCCACCTCCTTTCATGATAGTATATGTTTGCAAGTGTTGGGTATTTAGCTGCAATCTACTATGCCTACAAGAGGAAAATGGATTAAATGGCAGTTTCCTCCTACGGGTAAGCTAAAGTTAAACACAGATAGAACTTTTAGAAATAACAACTGTGGTGAGGGTGGCATTATGCGTGATGACAGAAGTAATTTAGTGATAGCCTTTTCAAGTTTATATGGTCCAGGGACGGACGAACTCGAAAGGAGAAAAGCTCTAACCTTGTTAAAAGGTATCCAATTATGTAATAAGAATAACCTACAGTTTGACATTATAGAAACTGATTCTTCATTAGTACTTGATTGTCTTTTTCATTCTCTTTGTTGTCCTTGACAACTTTGTTACATTTTTGGATCCTACTAGACAAGTATTAATTGTGGTACTGTTTTACAACACAACTTTTAGATAAAGTAATATGACCGCAGATGAACTTGCAAATTGGACATTCCAGCACTCTTCATACAAGATAATCCCTTTAGCTACTGAACTTTTCCATCCCTATCAATCTACTGTTTTGGATGGCAAATTAAGTCGTATGCTTTTTGTCCACGTTAATTTGCTCTCAAGGTGGGGCAATAATGGTTTCTCAATGACTAGGACTATGAAGAATATTTTTGCTTCTTTTTTTTTTTTTTGTGTTATTTCTTGTTTTCAAGGGTTCCCTTTAGTTTGTAGGTATCTTCTAGACCTTTTTCAAAATACATTTCAATAGTTATTCATTTAGAGGTTTAGGCTTTCTTTCCTCCCAACATGTTGGGCCAGAGTGGATTTGTCCCTCTTTATAATTTTTCATATTTTTATTAATAAATTTTCAAGGTACCAACCCTGTTTCTAAAAAAAATAAAAAACGAATAATGCAATGGATTCTTTTGCGGAAAAAAAAAAAAGCATTTGAAATGAAAAACCTGGTTTTTTAAAACTTAAACATACTTTAAAAAAACACTTTCAAATGCAATGTAAAATGCCTTGAACACCCAACTCTCTATGCTTAAAACATCTCCAACAAATTTTTTGGTATCAATTATATGTGACACTAAACAAGAAAATATCCATACTTGTCCAAATGAAAAAAAAAAAAAAAAAAAAAAACGGGGGCCGGATGAGAGGGAATTTATTTATGGGATCATTTTCATACGACAAGATATAGTCGCTAATGAGAGTGGAGGAGGAATAATACAATGGCGCCTTACGATTTCAAGTGGTAATACTTGTCCAAGAGCATCTCAGAATATTCTCCAAATGTACGACAACTATTGGCTAGCATCAGCTGAAAACAACACAGGAAACTGTAGTACAAAAATCAAATTAATATATTAAACAATGGATGTCTAATAATCAACATGTAATATCTCACCAATGGACTTCTATTTCGATAAATGTAGAAATGAGCTGAAGCAGCACCTACTAGAGCTCCAAGTTTGACAAATTCAATGGAGTGGTAAAAGTTTTCATGCTTTTGGCTGGCGGTTCTTTTATAAAATTCCTATCTTTAGACATAAAATGACACCAATGAAAGCAAAATGCTCGAGATGGCCTCTCCCTCGGGCCTCAACTAGTCTTGCAATAGTATTTTTTATTTTCTTAAGAGCTTCTCTGACAGTTGCTTGCAACACTGGTACTTTTATTAGCATATGAACGCCAAAATGTTACAATGAGTAACAGTTCATCACCTTAACTATATCTTCCATCTGTATCATATAGGCACGAGCATATGGTGGGACTTTCTTTACCATGTACACTAGTTGCAACAATTCATAAGAAATTTATAACCTCGCAACTTTGAAATGAGAATTAACAGCAACAGTAAACAGTAATTTTTGCAAGCATTTCTCCATTTTTAATGAAATGGTTAGTTCTCCTCAACTATAGTGGTTCTATTTTTTTTTTTTTTTTAATGGTTCCTTAACAGCACTGAGTTTCCCAGAACACTTGTCTTCGCCATGGTGGTGTTTCCTTGATCCCTGGTTAATGAGTTCTTATCATTTTCTTCGTACATAACTTGTGCCCAAAGTAACTCAAATGAAATTTTCACAACAAAGCCAATAACTTTCTAATTCTATCTGATTTTCTATCAAATAAACAGCATGCTTTGACACTTCAGATTTGAAGGCAAGGAAAACATACCTCTTTGTGAACATGCATCTCACTCGGAAAGTTAAGTTTCTCATCCCTAAAAGACAAAAGGAACACATCAATATATCTTGCTCCATATAAATGTTACAAGTTTCTCTGATACAAAACACTATTTAATTAATGCCTGATGTTATCATAGCAAGATGGAAAAAACCATATGACATGCAAGGATCTTTAGTTCATAGCCTATAGCTGATTAAAAAGAATACAAGAAAATAATAACTAATATGTCCAAATGAGAGGACAGCTAACTACATTTCTGTTTGTAGCTCCATTTGCAGTCTCAAGATTATATGAAAACTACTGGCAGTCAGCAAAGTTCATCCACATTGATATTAGGAAATGTGACAGGACAAGTCATGTCAAAAGATGCGTTCATTCATCTTTGTTAAATAGCATACCAATCAGGTTGCATGAATAATGCAAACGTTGATCTGTCAAGACCAGAAGCCTCATCTCCTTTGGGTGCCTACAAAACAAACATTAAACCAGGAATTATTACTTCATTACATGCCAAGACTGTACGGAATGGGAAAAAACCACCAAATTAATTATTTTTCATTTTTTTCACAACTTAGACATATTGCATTATGATCTTAATGATAGGTGCCATGCATTAACTTAGATGATCCAACTTCAAACATTGAATTCAGCTTTAATTCGGTTTACTCGTCATTTGTTTCAATGTGCCAGATCAGGGTTGCATAGTGGTATGACAAGCAGTTTATCATGAAAAGAGGTATTGCTGGATCTATGCAAAACACCTTTCGTACAAAATTCGGGCCGCCTTCCTCAGCTTGAGTACTGGAATACTACTTTTGGCAATTAAACAACGAACTAGGGGAGCTGAGTTCATACAAATATCACATATATCAGAAATGAACACTTTACGGAACAAAAGGAGGGCATTTTTCTAGTAAGAAAGTAAAGCCCAAAGGAAAAAAGTAAATAAGTAGGATAAGAAATGCTAATCATATCTTTCATGCTCATTCAGTTCAGTGTCATTCTGCATGTCAAAATAACTGACTATTAATCTTAGAGAAGCCCCTAGGCACTTGAAAGTCTGCATATACGAGAAGTGTCTCAAATTAATAAAACAAAGAGACAGATGCATGTGCTGTTGTGCATCATTTGTTTAGGCATTTAAAAAAATTTTGTAATGTCAACAGAGACAAATCAAATAAGACTTAAAGAAACAAATAACTGTGAATGAATTCACTTCCAGCTTCAAGTGTACAGAAGTAAAAACATAAATAGGCCCCTTTTACCTAAAATTTTTGTTTTATATAATGAAGCTGCTATTTTTCACCTTGAAGGATCACCAAATTGAGATCATGCAGCCAGCAACAAATAGTAATTGATAGATCAACATAAGATTTAGTGCAGTACAGAACACGGAGTCCTAGGAGTAAGACCCAAATTATTTCCATTATAAAAATAAAAATAATGATAAATACCCGAACACAGTGTGGTGTTGCACAAAGATAACCTCTTGACATTATTTCAGTTGTTTCGCCAATTTGGTATGCTATCTCATCTTCTCCAAATACAACCTAAAACATAAGAAACACACAGGTCAATGACAAACTGAGTATCATTCAGAATGTACTTGAAAAAAATGTCATAAAGAACCATATATGATAACAGGTTCAATATGTAGCAAGCACTTTGCCAATCCACTTATATAAAGCACTCAATTTCATTTCTTTTTTGTGGTCTTCCCCAAATTCATTGGTATTTCTTTAACATGTTGGGGGGAGGGGATTTGGTGTTGTATTGAATTTGTTAGAGAGTAATATAAATTATATTATGAGGCTTCACCTATAAGCTTAAGCTTTTAGGTGAGATGGTCCTTTGACATGGTATCGAGCTTGATTGACCATATGATCCTGAATTTAAATCTCACCATCCCTACTTTCTTAAGTATTCAGCACAAGGCAATGTATACCTGTGCAAGTTTCAAGCCCACATATTGCGGCTTTCACTTGAGGGGTATGTTAGAGAATAATATAAATTATATTCTGAGACCTCACCTATAAGCTTAAGCTTTTAGGTGAGATGGTCCTTTGACAAAATTCAAGTTGAAAGAGGACTTTTCTCAGTTCTTAGTTTTTGAACCTGCACTCTGTCTCTGTTTATTTTGAGAGTGGCAAATGAGAGAAGATTTGAACCAGATTTCCAAATGAAACCTGCTTGATTTCAAGCCATAAAATTGGCAAACATGATGGGAGTAAGTGATCCTACATTTCTAACAGCTAATACAGAGTTTAACCAAAAGCTGGTGCTTCTGAAAGAAGTAATATGCAATGAAGAATAAGTTAAAACAAACAAGTAATTGAGGCTCATTATCATAGATAGCATTTTGCATTAGTAAAATTTCACTGACAAGAAGGTTACTTTGACAATTTGATCAGTTCGTGTTTTAACATAAAGGCCAGCAGCACTATCAGGGCAAATTGTTTCTACACCGTCTCTCTTAAACATGGCACAGGTCAAACCTACATATTGAATTGAAACAAATCAGACAAAATAAATCAACCCCAATTTAGAAATTCCAAGAAAAAGAAATATTCTAATCCCTACAAAATTTCTAATCCCTACAAAATTATCTTGTCAATGAAAATCCAAGAATCAGTTTTATCTGGAAATAAATACAAAATTGGTAGAAGAAGTGTATATTGCTATGGAAAATGCATAATCATGCACATCGTCAACAGCCCATATGCCCTTGAGAGTGAAGAATAATAGTATCTCATGAATCAAAAAGTCGATCACCTGTGAGCGAGCCATGATCTGTATGCCACCCACACCACGATGACATTGAGTCACCATCTGGAACACAATCACTGCAAGTCATTCTACTTGTTAAATAGTCCCTCCAGAAGCAAATTCTATCATTGGAAGCACATTATGTTGGCAGACTCTACCATTTCATGTAATTCATCATGAAGATACAGACAACAAATATGATCAGCTAACATCTGGAATACAGATTAATGTTCCAGCAAGGGGTCTAGGGCCCAAATGATTCATAGTTCAATCCATAAATGGCCAATGGGACCTTGAAGTTGTTACCAAAAATACCCAGGACATAATTACTGTGTGACACCGAATTGGTGTGGATAAGAGACTTTACACACAACACTAAATTCAGTCTTTGCATGATATCTCTGTATTCAGGTAGACATTAAAAATCTAAATCAACATCAGTATTTTCAAAAAAACATTCATAGTGCCCTAACAACTTAAAGCAGCTCGAGTAATAATGAAATAACAAGTAAAATTTTGCTAGTGATATGCCTAATTGGTGCACATTTAATCTTCTTTGTTGCCTCCACGAAACCTCATCCATCAAGAATCTGCATTCAGTCTCATTCATATGATTATGTGCATCTTATTATCTTGTACAGTTGTGGAATTTTTGTACAAGAATTCCATAGTCCAGATATTTTGTATCTGGACTACGCTTTCTTCTGCAGAAAAGACTCAACTTTTGAGAAATTTTAGTGTCACGCTGACACAAATCAAGTCATCAAGGGTGAGGAGACCAGCTTAATAACTTAGTCATGTGCATCACAAGTTTTTATATTTCAATATAGCCACACAACAGATAATCAACAAGTCAGATAATGACAACTGAAAATACAATTGATTCTTTTACAAGGAGTAAGTTTAGTCAAAGGTGCCAAAAACCTGTGATAAGAAAAGTGGAAGGAAAGGAAAGGGATTACCTGTTTAGTGCAGGAAAATAATAAAGCAACCGGCCTTTATGACACCGTGAACGAAGAAGTATCTGTTCGAGGCTTTTATTTTGATTCCCACCCATTCCTCTGGATACTGCACAAGAGCTCATCAAAATTGAACAGATTACCAAGAGTGGTCAAAAGTAAAATAAAGACAAATGGAGAAAGAAAGAAGGATGTGGCAGGCAATCCGCTCTGCAAGTGCTCAATCCAGCACTACTCATACAAGTTGGTTCAGGAACGAGGCATGAATGACCCTCATTTTTAAAATCATATATGTGGACCAGGCTGGGCTTTCTTAGGAACAACTGCGGCTTGCCAGCCATATGAAATAATATCCATTCAAGTGCAATACAAAGCTGATATATAAAGCTTGGGAACTCTCATCCCAAGAGGAAAAGCATTAATCAGAAATCTGTTTTAAATCCGATGGGAATCCAGAACCTTCTATTTAAGGGTGTTGGCTCCACCAATATGGACACTTAAGGTGACTCAAGACTCAAACTCCTAAATCCAGTAGTTTTCCAATGTTTGAGTTATTGCCATTTCAATTTCCTGGGAAACAAAATGATGGATTCTATTTGTCAGGGCTAAAAAAATTATGTACATTCTCAGTTGTTCCTAAAATATGCATACATGTAGAAAATTAGAATTTAGAGGTGTTCAATATCTTATTAGCTTAATTTAAATACCCAACGTTGAGAAATAAATTTTACCATATTGATCGCAGTGATAAGCTACCATCAATCCCACCTCATGCATCTGTTTTCCAAGTGCTTTGAAAGCTACACATCAGTAACACGTATTCAGCAATTATATAGCACAGGAAATGTGAAAAGAAAAGGTTTGATATAACAAAGACACTCTGTGCCAATATCTCAAAATATTCTTGTACAAGAAAAAAAAAAGATCAGTATGAATTTATACCAAAGTACTGGTATAAGGATTTTTTTTTTTTTTTTTGTGAAAATAAGGAAATGTCATCCATTAAAAGACAGGATAAATCATAATTGGCAGCTAAAACTCAACTTACAAATAAGCGGCATAAAGAATATATGCTGCTGTGATTAACTGTGTAGATCACAAACACAAATAATTGCACCATAAAGCAAAAAATTGGTATGGTTACTGCTCATTGAAAGATAAATAACAGTAGAATTAAGTGATCATTGGTAACTGATATTATAATTACATAGACCAAAAGGGGATGCAGACAAGAACGTGCTGTGATTCTTGGATCAACAGAGCATATGCCAAGATGATTCAGATCATTTAAGGATCACAATGGACATCAAGGTGAGAATTTTATCTGTTAAAGGGTTTGATAGGCAAGCAAATTGCAATTCAACAGCTTAAAAACGATTGCAGTTCAAAGACTTCGCGAGATATTTTACACAAAACTGAATTCTTGAAGCCATCCACTAGAGATGTAAAAGAAACTTCTAAAAAGGCAACCACTGTATTACAAAATATTTGAATGTTATAATTTGCAGCCTAGAAAATCAAAGTGTTGATCTCATAAGTACCAACTTCCAATTCTGGCAAAGCACTGTCAGGCCATATATTTGAAGCACAATAGGACGGGTACCTATAAGAAAGAGCATGGGTGACAGGTTATCCAGATAAGTATAATAATGTCTTGTATACAGAATTTAAATTTTAAAAATAATTAAGTCTTTAATAGATCAAGGGGAAAAAAATCCTCATCCAAGCAAATACAGTGCCGTGAAAAAGATATCATGTGAACCATAAACATCCCCATTTTTTTGAATCTGCTTTGGCCAAAATCAATGGTGTTAGGTCCAGCCTTGTAAATCTACAGCAATGCCTTCATTAATAAATAAAAGCAAGAAACATTTGAACAGAAGTATGTTTTTTTAACTGTTTACCGCTGTATTAGACATATGTCAGTTGTAGGCACATCTAATATCGGATTGGCATAAAAAGAGCCTTTCAGCATATCTGCACAGCAGACCAAATATGAACAGAAAGGAAAAAAATAAAACATTAACTTGGATAAATGTAATTCATAGTGTGATCATGGCGTTTTATTAACTGTATAGGTACAGCAGACCAAATATGAACAGAAAGGAAAAAAATAAAACATTAACTTGGATAAATGTAATTCATAGTGTGATCATGGCGTTTTATTAACTGTATAGGTACAGCGAACCAAATATGAACAGAAAGGAACAAAACGTGCTTGGATAAATGTAATTCATAGTGTGATCATGGCGTTTTATTAACTGTAATAGGTACAACAGACCAAATATGAACAGAAAGGAAAAAAAAACATTAACTTGGATAAATGTAATTCATAGTGTGATCATCGCGTTTTATTAACTGTATAGGTACAGCAGACCAAATATGAACAGAAAGGGAAAAAAATAAAACATTAACTTGGATAAATGTAATTCATAGTACGATCATCGCATTTTATTAACTGTATAGGTTGTGTATTGTGATTATTAAAATTTTAATCTAATAGAAAGTTTACCAGGCTTCCCAGATTCAAGCTTCTCCTTCCCATGGCTCCATCCAAAGTTATACCTGCATCGAGATGGTGGATAAAAATAAGCACAAAATTAAGCCACCACTGATGGAAGCCCCAATAATGCCACTACCATTGCCTTCAGAATAAAAAATTGTATTCCAATTAAAAGGCAAGAGTGTTGCATGTTTCCGAACTTCCAAAGTACGTTCAATGGCAGGAAGAGAGAGAGAGAGAGAGAGAAGCAGAATGTATATACAACTTTGTTTAACATCCATTTTGCAATATAATATGCCTCTAAGCATATATCATATTTAGCCATTATACACAGAATGTAGATCGAGAATAACATCCTACTCTTCATGTACATAAATTTGGGAAACGAAAAACATATAAAGTTAACAGAGTTGGAGAAAAAAACTTAGAGGCAGAACCATTAATTACCTACTGCGTGGATCTTCAAGCTCATCCTTCACCTTTTGAGGAAGGTTGGCTAATCTGATAACATACAAAGATAGGCATCGTAAGCTAGTGAACAAAAATCCAATTTGGTTCTGTCAATGAATAATTTTATATCCAATGGCACTAGTAATGAATATAGGAAATCCATTTTGAAACTTGTACCTAGATGAAAGATGTAGAAGATTTTGACGCAGCAGAGAAAATCCAGGGACCTAAAATGATTAAAGGTAAAAGAATCAAACAAAAAGTCAAGCATTTGTTAAATAAATTCTAATACAACAACAACAACAACCAAGCCTCAATCCCAAACTAGTTGGGGGAGTCCTTTTGCGCCATTCCGCGCTTACCAAATGCATATAAATTCTAATCCCCATGTGCAATGTGATAATAGTGAAAACAGAAAAATGGGAAATAAACATAGCAAAAAGAAAGAAAGAAATTTCTGAGTAATATATAATTACATCCGAAATTGAAAGAATACCCAGCCCGTTCGGTCCAAAACCTTCCACTATCTTCTCCGACAAATCTGCATTCTTGTTCTATCAACAAAAATCAAACAAATTCTTTTACTTACATAATTCCAAAACATACATCAACTTTGATTAAAAGGAAGACTCACACCTGGAGGTCAGAATAGGGTATCGTGACACTTCTTAGAGTGGGGAAAGCCGTTCCAGTCGAGCTCCACTTTACTTGACACGCAATCCGCCGCGAAAGAATCCGATGAGATCGAGAACCTGCGAAATGGTGAAATAATGGTCTATGGTGGCGATGAGTCTTGTAGAGGAGTGCCCTTGAAGTCGCCGTCGTCATGCCTGATTATTTATGATTAGGTAATGGTGTCAAATCATGTTTTCAAAAGAGCATAATAATAATAACCATAAAAACAAAAGGAAGGAAGGCAGAATCTTCCTGACTCTTACGCTACTTCCGCAAAATAAAATGCTTTTTTTGACTTGCGAAATTCGTTGAAAGGAGGTATTGGTTTTGGCGCTTCGTTCAGGAGCCCGCCTTCGCTCTGGACTCCACTGTCTTTTTAATTGCTTCATTTGAAATTTCAATCGAAATAGTAAATATTTATCAAAAAAATTAATTAATTTTATAAAAAAAAATAAAAATAATAAGAGAATCGAAGAAAAAGAATGACAAAAAAATGAAATTACTATAATGTGGATACAAGTGATAAGAACTTCAAAGTTTTTCTTATTCTCTCTGAAAACTTATACACCAACTAATGAACAATCGAAGCTTATTTATAAAGCTACAAATTTGAGAAGAGAATTGGCAGTGAATATAAATAATCGATTGCATCACCATTTCAATTTCTCATATTGAATGATGAATTAAATCATATTAAGAATCATAAGTAGTAAGGATATAAAAAGTAGATGAACATGATGATGGACATTCGTTATTTCATAATACTCCCTCCGAATGTCCATTATACAATAAACATGTCTCGTTAAAACCTTACTAGGAAAAAACCTAGTAAAAAAAATCCTAGTGAAGGAAAAAAAGTACAATATTCCTTGTACACATTAATCTTAATGTTGGCCTCAAATTGTTGAAAACATCATTTGAGATCTCTAAGATGATGTATTCCAATCTTGTGAATCATCTTCTCAAAAGTTGTGATAGGTAATACTTTAATCAATAAATCCGTTAAATTGTCACTTTGATATATTCTTCCTTCAATGGAATTATGCAAGCGACATTATCTTCATATAATATTGTTAGAAATTCTTTTACTGATAGATAAATTGCATATCTCTTGGATATGATGGATCGTTAATCTTAGTCAAACACATTCTCGACTTGCCTCGTGAATTGATATTTCGCATGATTTGAAGATGTGGCAACTATAGTTTGCTTCATAAAACGCCAAAGTATAGCTGCATCTTCATATGTAAATATATAACCAATTGTGATCGAGCTTTGTGTGGATCAAATAAATAACCCGCATTTACATAATCAATTAATCTTATATTTGATTTATTAGAGTAATATAAGCCCATATCAAGTATTCCTCGAATATAACATAGTATATATTTAATTTTATTTTAATGCTTCCATATTGAAACAAAATTATGACTTACTAATAAATTTATAGAAAAGACTATATCGGATCGAATATTATTAGTAAGATATGTCAATGCACTAAGTGGCCCTAAGATATGGTACTTTAGGACCAAGTAGTTCTTTGTTATCTTCTTGAGGTCGAAAATGGTCTTTTTGGATATCAAGTGAATGAACTACCATTGGGTTAGTCAATGAATGATCTTTATATAGAATCATTATAGAACTTTTTCTATATAAATTGATCGATGAATAAAAATCTCATTCTCTAAAAGCTTGAACTACGAGTCAAGATAACATTTTTTTCCAAGGTATTCACATCAAATTCTCTTTTTAGATAACTTATGACACTTGGAATATCTTCGGGAGTTCTAATAATATTTAAGTTATCAATATATACAACAACCCCTTTTCAAATAAAAATATATGAACAAATAGGGTTATTTTCTTTTTTATAACTTTCTTTCAATAATCATTGAAGTGATTATATCACATGCATACGGGTTAGTAATAAACAATAGATATAAAAATAAAATATAAAAAAAGTATAATATAAATTAAATTTCTAAAAATAAAAATAATAAAACAAATATTAAAATAATCTTAATAGAGATCTTTATAATTTAATTGGATTATTTTCTCAAAAATATGTATTGTATGCTTTTGGCATGTTAAATCCTTCTAGGACTTTCATACCGATATCATTTCAAATAAACAAATAAACTGTGATCACATTCGGTAAATGCATGTATATGAATGTTTTTCATATATTTTACCATGCTAATGAGATAACAAAATATAATTGCATCCATTATAGGAGAATGTGTCTCCTCATAGTCAATGTCAGTTCTTTGCAAACGCTCTTATGTTACAAGTTTTGCTTTGTATCTCATAATCTCATCTTTCTTATTTTTTTCGTAAAAATACTTATTTATATTACACTAGCTTAACATCTTCAAGTGTTTTAGCTATGGGTTCAAAAAACTATTCTTTTGTAAAAGAACATAATTACGTCCGAATTGCTCTTTTCATTTAGACCAATCATCTTTATGTCGACATTCTTCAATAAATTTAGGCTCATGATCCTTATTTTGATTCAAATATCAATTGCAATATTATATGCAAAAATCTTATCAATAGATGTTTCTTTTCGGTCTTATTTTCTCCATGTATTGACATAATTTATCAAAATCTCTTGATTTTTCTCGAGCATTTGGACTTCTTACGGAAGCCTATTATTATAAATATCTTGGACCATTTTGTGAATATTTACATCCTTTATATTTTCATCTTGTCCTTTTCTTTAAGGATTTTTATCTTTAGAACCGATCGGTCTTTCACGCTTCGAGCGTGCTTTAGATTCATTAGCTATAACATTAATAGATTGTCATTTTAGGACATCAATTCTAATAGGAGCATTCTTAGTGGGGATATGCATTTTAGTTAATCTTTTAGTATCCGAGAATGAATCTAGCGAGTTGGTTTGTAATACTTTATAAACGAATCATCTTCCGAATTTATAGTTCACATTATTTTGTACTAAGTTAATATAAAGATAGAGTACTCCATGTAATCTCTTTTTCCAATATTTTCAATCGCTTATTTTTTTTATCCTCTTCCCTTAATGTTGAAAAAGTTGTTTCATCTACGAGTGTTCACTATTCGGTGAAAACCGAATAACCGAACCAAATTGCATCGAAATATCAATTTTGGTGTGGTTTTTTTTAGAAACTAAAAAAAAAAACCGAACCGAAATATAGTCGATTTTTTATTTCGATTTCGATTTTTTTTAATTCGATTAAAATCGAATAATCGAAATTATTAAATTTTTTTTAAAATTCATCGGTGAACGATGTTGTTCATTCCAATCCTCACACCCTCATGCAAACCTAAGCTAATTGGAGTTAAATCAATTAGCCCATAACTAATTCTTGTTGCATTGATTACATGAGCCAACTGGCTCAACGCCAAATGACCATAACCAATTCTTGTTTATAATTGCCCAATGAGGTACATAATTTCTTTCTTGATTCAATTTATAGTTTAAAAAAAGATGTGAGATAGTGTTTTTTCTATGTGAAAGAAAACTAGTTAATTTATGGACCACGATAATAATTAGTATGTCTCTTTTTAGTAAACACATATAATTTAAAATTGCGCTAAAGAAAGTTAAGTGTTTAAAGTTTTAATGTTCTTCATTGTTCAAAAACAACATTGTCGTTTAATTAGCAAAGGTTAGCTTATGGTTGTAGTGCTTAACAAGTTACCCAAAATTATTAGTTCTAATTACGTCAAGTTAATTAAAAGTGTCTTTCATAAACACAAATAAGTCGGTTATATTTGAGCTTCAAAGCATGCTCTGTTTCTTTTTAGAAGGAATTGATAAAATATCTTAATTATAACACATATTTGGCGGTATTATCTACCGATACCGATAGACAATAACATATATTATATATTATTAGACTTTATATGATAATGATAACATTTCGTATTTTATATATATATATCAATTGATATTATATTAGTAATACCTATTAAGGAGTAGTAAAATAATAGTGAATAGACGAGTTCAATGAGATTGAAAAACGTATACATATAGGAACATAGCCTAAAAATCACAATACAAATACTAAATTTATTTTTTCGAAAGTGCATGATCCTTTCAAAAATCAAAAGTATAGATAATTAAAGGTGAAAATCGAATTACCAAATAAAAAAATCGATATATTTCAAAACCGAACTGAAAAATCGAATAATAATTCGGTTCGGTTTCGATTATTTTTTAGGCAATTCGATTAATCAAAAAACGGTCAAAAAAGTTCCAAACCGAACCGAATTACCGAACGAACACCCCTAGTTTCATCACAATGACGAGTCGATAAATTGAGTCGTAAAAATATCTCTCATTCATGGTTCAAGATATTAAATTATTGAAGAGGATTCAAATCCAACATGTATTCCCAATCTCTTTTAAATGCCCATTTTAGTTTATTATGGAGGAGCATTATGGATATATACTTGCAATGTCAAAATTCTTAAATAAGAAATATTTGGTTCATGACCATAAATCAATTGAAGATGAGAGAATTTTTTATAACTTATGGGTCTAATGCGAATAAGTGTTGCTTGCATGTAAGATTGCATGTCCCCATATATAAACGGGGAGTTTTATTTTTAAATAATGGTTTAGCTATCAATTGGAGCCTTTTGATAAATAATTTCGGTAAACCTTCTCGAGTATGAACACGAGCAACATGATGTTCAACCTTTATTCTAATATCCAATAAATAATCATTTAATCCTTGAGAAATAAATTCACTAGCATTATCAAGGTGACTTGTTTTAATGGCATAATCTGAAAATTATACTCGTAATCAAATTTGCTAACAATCTCAAAAACGTTAGGTTTCGAATAGATAATAAGCATATATATGACCATCTTGTGGATGCATTTATTAAAATTATAAAATATTTAAATGATCCATATGGTGGATGAATTAATCCACACATATCACCTTGAATACATTCTAAAAATACTGAAGATTCAATCTCAATTTTACTTGAGTGATGACTTAATAATCAATTTGCCTTGAGATCATGCGAGAATATGAAAATTCATTAAATTGAAGAATCTTCCGGCTCTTCAATAGATGTCCATATAAATTTTTAATAATTTTTCACATCATAAAAGACCCAAGATAACACAACTAGTCATGTCACACAATAAAATTATT